TGCCAAATCTTTACATGGCTATAGAACGTGATCTGTCCCGCTATTTAGCCATATCTGGGCGAGAAGAAGAGGATTCATACTTTTCCCAAGTTTAAAAGGATCGTTCGGTTGGCAAGGTCGAATTTACTGCTTTGTGGCCGAATGGTTAGGCACGTCAAGCTAAATGACGGTTCCGTATAGGATGCAGGTTCGAATCCTGTCAAAGGACGAATATTGTCTATGAAAATTTCTCGGACATTCAGGCCGGTAAATGTTATTTAATACTGTTTATTATAAACAGAGCATTTACTTAAATACTTGTATCTATAAAAAAGAATGTTAAACATAAAAATGTCTTTAATAAATTGTAGGACTTTGTCCATTTCCTAATGTATATATATATATATATATATATATATATATATATATATACATACATATATATATATATATATAAATAATATATATATATATATATATATATATATAGTACTAAAAGAGTAATGGACGGGCGTACTAAGTAACTAAGGATGGAGCAAGCACAATTATAGTAATGTGCGGCAAACATTCACGATGCAAAATGTGTAAAAGTTATTACGATGCATGAGATATACTTTAATGAAAACTTCTTCAAAATATACTGCAGCGTCTCACTAACCTTTACTTACTTTAACATCCAAAATGTTTTCTTACGTTTATTGGAATATTTTCTATTACTTCCTTACACGTGACACGTATCCAATCAAAACTTCCTACTGCATCTTACTTTGCCACACATATTTAAATATTATCTGTTATTTCATTACACGTGACACGTATCTAAGCAATGACATAGCCTAACGTAACATACAATTAATCTATGTCTCTTTGCTTTTTATCAATTTTTATCATTTGTATCTTGATCTCTGACGAAGCTTTAATAAAGTGAACATTTTAGATTAAGATCTATTTTCTACTTGTTCGTTTCCTCATCATGTACATATATATATATATATATATATATATATATATATTAACTGATTTAAAATAAGTTTTTCGCTACACAGTTCTAACCATGTTTCAAAAAATGGAAGCTAAAAGCTTCGAATTTAATTTTGTAATTAAATTAAAGACATTAGTTCTATTTCATCCTCAAGCGAATTTTGGAGTAACTTTTAAAATTATTGGGTTTTAAATGCACATCAAAAATCATAATTCACGTTCCCAAGGATAAAGAGAAATCCATTCATCCAGACAAGGGGTGTTTGCGTGTTCATTATCGATTTATTTTGTTGTAACAGTTATTAGTTACGTTTTGGTAGGGGTAGGGATGTATTTTGCAATGAATTCTGACATCCGTTAAATGCAGGTCGTCTGGATTTTTTTTTTTAAATTATTGTTAACGGCAAAAATTCTTACGGCATTTTTTCCTATTTGTATACTTAAAGATTTTGGCGGGGTGTTTAGGTTAGAATACGTTCTATTTAACTACGATAAAAAAAAATTCACTTTTAATTTTTAATATACTCTATTTCTTTTTAAAACAAGTAAATGTATTAGAATCACTTACAGTATGTAAAATTATTTTCTCATCAAGTATAAATATGTATATTACTAGGTCACAATTTTTTTACATTTATATTTAAATATTATTTAAGTAAAATTTTTGACAATAGCTAATTAATTTCTCTGATTTAATAAACGTTTATTTTTTATATATTTTATATAAATCCAGTAATATATAGTTTCTCATGTAAGTACATAGGTCTTTTTATATTATACAACCTTACAGCGCACTGTGATATTAATCTAACTGACATTGGTTTGTACAGAGACGATGGCCTTATGGTTATTAGAAACTCAACTAACTTCAAAATAGATAAAATTAGAAAGGTTTTATATAAAGAATTTAAAAGCATGGGCTTCAAAATTACGGTTAGCACTAAATTAAAAACAGTGAACTTCCTTGATATAACATTGGAATTAAATAAAAATGCATACACACCATATAAAAAAACAACACCAATCCTTTATATATACACCCCAAATCAAATAACCCCCCATCTATAATTAAACATATACCGTTATCTATCAGTAAACGAATTAGTACAAATTCAGCAAATGACAAGATTTTCGATGCGCATATCAATTCCTATAATAAAGCTCTAAAAATGAGTGGCTACAAAACTCAAAACTAATTTATATAAAAAAGGAAAATGGAAAGCATAGAAAAAACAAATGTAGACAAATAATTTGGTATACGCCCCTATACAACCAAATGATAAAGAACAAATTAGGACAATAATTCCTCACATTAATAGTCAAGCATTTTCCTAGTGAAAGTAAACTAAGTACTATTTTCAATAAAAAGACACTAAAATTGAGTTACAGTTGTACGGAAAACTTAGAAAAAAATATTAAGAAACTGTCGAACAATCACGTTGTCAAGATAAACACTCAGTTGCGGAGCAAGCTGAGTGAATGCTCATTCAACATTGAGAAAGAGAGCTATTTATGGTGCAATGGAGCATCTCATTATGCTAAAGTGGGATAGTCCATTGCTTGGGCTGTGATTGGCTGCTGGTACCTGAGTGGAAGTATTTCTATATAAATACCAGCTTGATTCCTCAGTTAGTTTGCAGGGTTTGTATTAAGTTACAACCGGCTTTATTTTTGTCTGCCAGCTGGACGCTAGCTGGGACTCTTACGCCGGTAAGAGTTGTTTATTGTATTGTTATTCTACAGAAACATAATGCTAATATCTTAAATAAACACTTATACCAAAACCAAAAAAATTTAGACAATGGAAAAATAAAAATAAAAACTGATGATGATAAACAAAAATTATTTAACTGTAGAAACCCTCATAATTGCCCTCTACAAAATAAATGTTGCACAGAATCATTAGTATACCAATGCAATATTTCTTCTATTGAAAATCCTGAAAACATAAAAATTTATATATGTTGCACAAGACATGAGTTCAAAAAAAGATTTAACCAACATCAAAATTCATTTAGGATAAATAAATATAATCAAACATCTCTCGGAGTAAATCTGGCACCTAAAAGAATCAAATAAAACACCTACAGTAAAATGGAAGTTAATAAGAAAAGCTAGAATATGTAGGTCATTAAATGACCCATGTCCTTTGTGCATACATAAGAAACTATATATTACTAAGTTTATAAAAAATAAAAATTTACTGCATCAGAGAAATGAAATAGCTATTTTATGCCGTCATTGTCAAAAATTTTCCTTAAATAATATTTTAAAATAAAAATAATTTTAAAAAGTGCAATCAGGTAATATACATAATTATATTTAATGTGAAAAAATAATGTTATATATTGTAAGTTATCCTATTACATTTACTTGTTTTATAAAAAGACAGTCTATTAAAATAACAGTGAAATATTTTAAAGTTGTATTTAAAATTGTAGTTAAAACGAATTCTAACCTAAACACCTTTTAAAATTGTAATTAAATAAAACGTATTCTAACCTAAACACCTCTCAAAAAGTAATACCGACGCTTAAATGAATCCAATAAAACACCTACAGAAAAATGAAATTATGATGAAAAGCTGGAAGATGTAGGCCATTGAATGACCCATGTCCTTTGTACATACATGAGAAACTATATATTAATAATTTTATAAAAAATAAAGTTTACTAAATCAGAGAAATTAATTAGCTAATTTTGCCGTAATTGTCATAAACTTTACTTAAATAATATTTAAATATGAATTAAAAAAACAACATAAAACTCTGATCACATTTCCATTGGACTGAAAAGAAGATTACTGCAACGAATACTACGCAATCTCGACTCGAAGAGCTTTGGTATTAGCGCCAAGAAAAATAAGATGAAAAATCCCATTGAAAAAAATTGCACTATGTTCTATTCAGCTGAGGTGATCGTTCTAGAAGCATCAACCATAATTACTATCTATATATTTTGACATTGTGCACTTTCTATAATAATAATATCTGCCCAAAATATTTCTTTTAATCTTTAAGGAATTTAAAGGCGAAATCTTCGCTGGTGGCTCAATAGAAGTTTTTTCAGAAGCACTATGCTTAAGATGCTCTATCGTTTACCACACAGCATTAGCATCACTCTACAAGTGCAACTGGGACAATATAACACAATACTAGTTGTAAAATGGTCAGGTCATCGGCGCCCAAACCAGGTTTTCCATGCGAGGAAAGTGGTCACATAACTAGCACGATTAAAAAAGGACTTTTCAAAGGGTGGAAGAAAGTGGGCTCCATCAATATTTATGCAGCCAATGTAGTGATAACACAACTTCTGTGGACAGAGGGATTCCTCATCTGATGTCAACGCCCAGGGCGGTGACTGCTATCGATCGAATCAACGGTCACGGGAGTGTGACCAATTGGAACCTTCTAGTTGAAGCCTATACGCGCTTTGGCATATAGAGATTTCTATCAGAAATACTTGCCTAAGAGACACTACACGTGAATGAATAGCTCACAGGCTTTTAAACAACATATGTGGCGGCAACTGGTTAGGTGATCCTTTGCGTAGCAACACTAGGGACACACCCAGTCGTA